CTTGTTAACTGCTTAATTCGTATTGCATGGATAAGACGGCTACGCTGCTCTGTGCACGCAGTTATGAAGCACTATCAAGGCAGGCTGGCTCCCCGTGTGTGGCTTCCAGTGGCCGCACCAGCGGAAGCGCCTGCGTATGAGTCCTTTCTGTATGACTTCATCACAGCTTCAGCAATTTCCGTAATTTAGAAGTGGAAGGCTCGAGTGCTCCTCTAAAGTAGTCTTTCGTAAGTTCCAGTCGACTGACAGCCCCATTGTAGTGCATAGGCACTACAGTAGTTCCCCAGTGAGCGTAAGGTGAGCCTATAGTGACCTATTTCGTGGACACAATGTAATGCAATATTGGTGTTACGTCAGATCAACTAGGCAAGAGAGAGAGCCAACGAGTTATAAGCGTCAGTTGACTAGGAGCACCAATCAGTTAGGAGCGGCAACCGGCTAGGAAAGCCAACTGCCTATCACGGCTTTCAGGTTGACTGAGTCGACGAGATGCCAACCCACCTTGAGAGGTCAGGCGTGGAGGACAGATCCTTTCGAGTCATCTTTTCATGGAAGAATTGACTAGAAACATGACTTGAAGATAATTATGTTGATATAAGGAATGTTCGCGTGATCTGTCTGGATGCTTTTGGAAAGAAACACTTGGGCCTATACGTAGTGGTAGTGGTGAGTCCGCTGCTGCATTACACGGACACAACTATCTGTTTGTTTTCGTTTTGGACATAGCCTAGCAAATAGCACATCAGAGAAACAGTGAAGCCTACAATATGAAAAATCTTGCGCTCAGTATTTATAGGTCAGTTCCTTCATTCTTTTGGGGCCCAACAGTCAATAGTTGACCTAATGAAGAAAAGCGAATAGCTGAGCTGATCAGAATTACACTGTGGTGAAACGTACGCTAGCGCACTAGTGCTGAGGCCTATGTTTCTGGCTTTGCGGGGACCCTGAATCGCGACGGATACACATCAAGGCACCACCAAATTCAGTTTTCTTTACCTTTATGAGTTATCTAATCTTCCTACAAACTAATGCAAATACAAGCAAGAATTAGGAAGGGCCTTTGAGGCTTAGCCAAGCCGAGAGGATGCTGTGGTACTAGAATGTTCTGCGGAGCCAGCCTCAAAAGGTTGCAAAATTTGTTATTAGGGAAGTACTACTAACGAAAGCAAGTCGTTGTTGTAGGCGAGGCCGAAGGCCCTCCCCAAGCAGCTGAGCGTTTCGGTCTGGTAATATTACCGCTGAAGCCGGCTATAGTACACTGCGTTCTCAGCAGCGACTACGATGCTGCATGGCTCACAACTTGGGCGTTCTATGAAACCCTCTCTAATACCGACGCATCGGTCGCATAACGTCTGCCAATTTATTAAAAAGACCGTTTCGTTTCCAGTTCTCAAATGCACATTTCATAAAAGTCGTTCCTCATGGTTCTTGCTGTGTTGGTCCGGTGAGGTTGTGACCCGCACCGGTGCCAGTGTTGTTGGCAGCCCTTTCTAGTTTATACACGTTTTTTAGCTACCAAATTGCTTTTCTACTTCGCTAGTAAGATGTAACAGTGCTCAATCAGCGTCTCAACGTCTTGACCGCTTATAGGTCATCAGTCAGCTATCCTCTATAGGTCACCATCAAGAACTATTGTAGTGCCTGGGCACTACACCGGTTGTGGCATGTACATCAACAGACACAAGTGGGCGCTCAAGGAGAGGAGAGACAGCAACAACGTTAATGAATAAGTTCATTCAAGGGTCTATGCGGTGTTCTGAAAATCTTAGACATGTGTGTATCTTTGTAGGCTGTCAGGGTACCAGTGTACGGACAAGGCTGGGTTTAGCTTACTATTTCCGTCTGAACACAGAGAATGGTCACGAATTATCCCAAAGTGCCTGCAGTAGATTGATGAAACGTGATAGACTGGGGAATGGCAGATTACTTGAGTCTGTTTGTCTCCTTTGCTTCATATACTATTACTCCTTCTACTGCCCGCTGGAAAGACACCCCAAATCGTGAACTCGGGCTTTCCATTTTGAACACAAACATGATCTCTGCTGATTTAAATCGTGCCTCTGCTGTATATAGTCGTGCGTAGAACGCCGTATAGCTACTGTACGGAACGTATATCGAGAAGCTAGAATCAACTAGAAGGATCAAGAACGCTTTGAGGAGAGGCAAACAATATGCAGCTTATGTGAAAGCTTCTATTTCTGTGGGTGACAATGTTGGCAAATGGCGAACAAGTCCGGCACGTAGTTGTTCCCTGGCCTCTAAAATTAATATGCGCTTCAATAGTAACAATAGCTAGTAAGTAGTAATGCGTTCCTTGCACAGACACCTAGCCAGCGCGTTTTCTGCAGCGTCTTCTACCCTCACGTGCAAGAAAATGCAATATAAATTGTTGCTTTGCTTAAAAGTAGTTACATAAGCGAGACCTACGATGTCGACCTTGTGGGCATCAATCCTGTTAAATTTCTGTTTGCAACTGCTTTTTGATCATTTCCTGCCAGAATAGCCTTTGGTTTTTCATACTGAGGTTTATTATGTTCTCTCCGTATCCAGTCGCCTGAAGTTTCTTTATTTAGTGGGGCGCCAGCTTTTTGAAGTACAACTAGTTGCTGGGAAATACTGATTTGCCACAGCTCCAAGAAGAACGTTACAAAGCCCAGCTCGAGCGCTGTATAGACTTAGTCAATACAGGAGGCGATTTTCCTGTAGACGCAGCTCCCTGTTGATAACATGTTAAAAGTAAGGACCCAAATGCTGAGGCTGCTCAACCATGCGAGAGTGTGTTGTGAACAAGTAGACAAAAGACTAGTAAAAGGTAAAAGCCCAACGATATGTTGTAGCCCCATTTGAGGATGGTCGTTAAAACACTTCTGATCTTGGCTATCCGTGCATCTCTTCCTTTGGTTTGAATGTGACCTTCCGGCACGCTGGCCAGGTGATTGACAGCTCAGCCTCTGGTTTTTCAATACGTTAAAATCAAAGGTCTCTTTTTTTCGTAATTCTCTTGCTTGTTTAAACATTTCGCCTTCCCTTTTCTCTCCCAAGGCACAGCCTTTGGGAAGTGAGAGTCTAGCTCTTGCTGTGTGTGCGAATGCCTCGAAATATTTTATTTCCCAGGTCTGCAGAAATTTAGCCCTTAACATAGTGCTTGTTTTGGGAGCGGGAGCACAGAAACATGCAGCCTGTCGTCATACAGCGAAATAATATTTCCCGCGGGCCTGCAGAAACTTAGTCTTCCACAGAGTGCATGTCTCGAAAGCACAGAAAGGTGCACCCTGTCTTGTTCTTGACTGCAACGGCATTCGCACTTATTTTGCAAATGCCCTGCCTTTCCACTCCCAAAATAACACGGGCTTCTGGGGTCATGTGGGTCATACGTGTAATGTTTGCTCGGTTGACTATATCGTCCTATGGAAAGGAAAGTTAAGCGTAGCATCATCTTCTTTCTATATGATCATTTTTGACGCTAAAATGTGACTAAGAATTCAGATTAAACATTCTAAAACATGAAAATTCCATTATGTTACGAGGAGAGCTAAACGGATGCGCACTGGTCAAGGCGTTCGCCCATCTGTGTGCACGTCAGCACCGTTAGGGATCCTTGATGCGCTAATCTGTTACAGATGATCACGGAAGGATTACAGAAAAGATGTCGAGTAACCCTCGGTCTTCGAGCATTGAAGTCCTGTGAAGAGAATTGCTTAGTCTCTTTTGGAGCAGTTACTTTTAGGTCTGGTCTCAAAGCATGCTTTGTTTCTACGAAATGGCCTGGCGAGCGGTGTGCAAGGAAGGTAGAGAGTCCCTTATTTTGGTACTTAGGAGGCTTCATTGCCGCATTATTTACTCATCGGTGATCAACTGAATTCGACGAAAGTTCAGCGGTGATTAGAGCTAAAGAAATCTTGCTTATGTTGTCAAACTCCGTTGGAATAGATGCGCCGTGCCAAATTCTGTTATCAAAACTTCTCATTACTTAGCGTGCTTCGGCATAGAGGGTCATGGTATGCTGCCCCCCGAAAAAAATACATTCACAATTCCAGGATATCACAACAATAAAACTGATGACTTCTCTACCGTGAGCCACGGAACAACATTAAAGACCTTGGGCGCTGCTCAGTCATTGCATCCCTTGCGATTTTAACTGTGAGGGTAGGCGGAGCGAGATCAGTTTTTGTATTGCTTTTAGGGCCGTCTCTGACGATTTCCAGCACAAAGAAGAACCATTGAGAAATCGCCGCTGCACATAGATGTAAAACGAGGACAGTAATGGCAGGCAGTTGTACAGGCAGCCATATTCATTTACTTCACTTAAGAACGTAGGCAGTTTGCTGTCTTGTCACTCTGAGTCAAACTTCCCAAGAATGCTAAGCATGTCGTGAAAAGCCTCTGCTAAGCAAACCCAGTTTGTACACCTTTGCAGGCTATGCCTTTTACAGGTTGAGTCACTCACAATCTTAGATGTCGATGTAGCCTGGGTATGGCTTTCACGTCGTTGGCGGCTCGTCGGACACGAATGAGCTGGCTGTTGACAAGTTGAGACTGCTGGCAGCTTTGAAAGCAACAAACACGAAAGAGGCAGTAATCTAGGAATCGATGTGTTACAATCAAGTGCGACGAGATTGTTGCCAAGAGCGAAACGCGCCGATTCGCTACTGCAAATATATTATATCAAAATATCACCTCTATTTAATCTGATTCATGGTAAGTTCCTCTCAGGATGTGTATCTCTTCGATAAAAAGACTTACTACTCTGTCGTGAGAGGGGTTCAGCCGTCTGTGCCGCCTGCGCATACAGTTTTGACGATTTGTGGTCCCACGAGGATCTACAAGGTCGCAAGGGCTTTACATCCCATTTGGGTTAGCGATGAGAAAGCTCGCAAACCTTAACATCTGCGAATCGTCTCACCGCCCTTGAGGACGGTGGGACGATTCGCAAGACTTTTAGTGCTAGCTGTGGTCACGAAAACATATTTCTAACAGAGTTACTAATCTGCTCAGTGATGTTAGAGTTTCTTTAGCCTGAAGGAATGCCTGGAATAACTCTGTGAACTCTGATATTTGTCTGACTGCGCATCAGCAGCCCCTCTGATACCAGCTAGGATTCTGTACTGCATCTTCGAGCTATTGTGTGGAATCTGGATACTTAGCTTCAGTTGATCGGCAAATGCTTGGATGTTGCCAGCCCCACAGGAGGGCCCCGTTTACACGACGAGCAAATGGTGCCGCATGCTCACTTTGCTCATGAGTCCATCAATTGCCACGACTGGCGTTTTATTCCTGAGAATTGGCTTGGGGGTTTCCCGACACTGCCCGAGTTCCTTTGTCTGGAATTCCCCATCGCGTTCTTTGTGAGATGTGCACTTGACTGCGCAAGTCCGTTCATTTTTTTGTTGACGCAGCGCCTTTACGTCTTCTGAATCAAACCACTGAAGGGCTCGCTGCGAGCGTCTTGCCTTTCGCACTGCGTATTACAGCCCGCAGCACCAAAGATATATCATAACAAATGCTTTGGCCTGAAACTGATATACCAAGCGGTCTGTAAGCAAAATACCACTGGCTATCATCAAATCACCTGTGTGAGTAGGAAGGCCACATATAGGCAAGGTAGCGTTAAGAAATGTGTTGTGCACCAGAGTGCATTCAGCATCTGTTGCTGGGATTGCTGCGAAAAAGAGTCGCAATCATGCTTTTTATGCCCATGCCCAGTGCTGCTCATGCAACCAGCCATGGTTCGCGGGAAAAGACAATGGCGACACAGCGCCTCTTACTCTGCCACAGAGTTTCTCAAGAAAGCGGCTTACGCACTGCGCTGCTGATACCACGTTCAGCGAATGCTCTAGAGTAGTAGTGCTTAAATTGCCCGCAGATATGTCACTGGCTTTGCTCATGGTATGGCGGTAGCGCTAGTCTTACTAATTGGAAGGTGCTCAGGTGCCTTCTCACTTGTTTGTTCTACCGCCATGTGTCTGGTTGAGAAGTTACCATGCAAATGACCGCTCAAGGAACAGAATTTTGCTACTTACTTCCAGAAAGAGACTGTAATAGGGAACGTTGTTTCTCTGTAGATTCCAACAATTCCATTGCATCTTCTCGCGGCTGGAGTGGCGGCCTTCGGCTCGACAAAAATTTCAAACAGAGGCCGAGAGACCACTTAAACCTGGATACATTATATTTTGCAGAAAATGGGTCGCATTATTAGCGTATTTCAGATGAATATTGTAGAGGGGGGGTGCTACAACGAAGAAAGAGCCGCTGCACGTGGATTTACCGGCTCAACTCTAAGCATTTTAGTTTTTTGTCGAATTTCATTTCCACAGCACGATGCCCCTTTTCAGTGTGCATTGAACAAAAGCAACATTGACGACTGCTGGCTGCACTGACACAAGTTCGTACACAGCCAGAGTCGGTGATAATAGCAGGCCTCAGGATTCCTCGTACTTCACGACAAAATACGCCGTTGCAATTTCTGCTGCTGGGGAAAGGTCGCTTGACGACTGCAGCAGGCAGCTCCCGCCCTGATCAATAGCTTCGTCTATGAATGCAAGAACTTGAGCAAGATGCTGCAGGTTATGCTCAGCAGTCTCCTGTTGACGAGGCACAATTGAGAAAAATATTTAGAACTGATCTGTGGACACTAAAGTTATATAAGATAAAGACAGAGCTAAACGCCGACATGGCACGTCGTACAGCGAAATGCTTTCTTGGAGAAGCGGAAGAAACGTTCTTAAGCCATACCGCATCGCGCGTAGCCCTTAGGGGTTGCCACTGAATGCTAAGGCTGCGGAATGGTCGCTCCAGAAGTGAATCTCTTGCCGTCACTATTACCTGAGATGCTTGGAAGGGCTGGTGAATATGCTCATTGATAAAAACAATGTGGGATACTTTATTTGCTCTCAAAAAGCCCCTGTCAACAGCCGCAGAACTTAGAGAAAAGAACAATCCATCCTTCAGTCGGAACGGTCCAGCGAATAGTCCTTCATCTGGAGAGACCGGTTGACCGCATGTGAGAAACTCGCATATATCATCATGCTGCTCATAGCTGTCTAGCCGTTTGTGCATCGCAGGAGTCGTGGTCTGTGGAATCCTGTGCTGTCTACTGTTAATATTCACACAGGACGGCAGCTGCCGCTCCATTTGCTCGATTCGAAAGGCTTCTATTGTCTGCTTCTTCCTGAAGGCGCTTTGACAGACAAACTGGAGAGATTGACCGAGGCGATTCCTAGGTATAAAAGTAGCGTTTACTATGACATGACGAGAGCCCTAGAGACATCCACCTTTTGCTGGACTTCGATTGCGCGAAGCTCCCCAACAAGCAACCTGCTGCGTGAATTCTGGGTTTCAGGTAAAGGCATGCAACCACAGTATTGTGGTCAAGCATTAGCGCCCGGAGTTTCTACTTGGAGCTAATCATCAGAAAGCACCGCCTAACTGGGAACCGAGAGAACAATGCGGAGCAATTCCTGCACCTTAAGGCAAACACCTTTGTAGTGCTCCCTTCTTAGAAAGGTTTCACTGCAGTTGACCGAATACACTGGGAGGCAATGCATGAACTTCACGAGCGCGTGAGTGGCGAATGGCATGCGGTGACCCCCTGAGGGAGAAAGACAAAGGTGGGCAATACTGAATACTAAGTTGTTTTTACACGCATAAAGACGTGTAACTATCTTGGTTCTTGCGTAGGTTCCAACTTATTGAGGATTACTTAAAGTTCTACACCGCTTCAGCAACCTCTGTGTGAGCGAGTAGGGACTGCGTCCTCAGAGATATACTATGAAAATTCTCTTCTACTCCTCTTATGCGGAAGAAATCTCCCTGTAAAATAAACTGTGTGCTAAGTAGAAATTCCAATGTGGCGTGTAAAGACTTCACTGCAGCAGAAGCAGCCCCTCACTCGAGCACTTTCGTCGGGGGCTCTGCAAACTCGGCGAGACAGCTGTGCTTCCTACTCAATTCGCTGGAAAACCTTCTGATCGCTCTCAAAACATTTTCATTTAAATAGGCAAAATGTAGAGTTCGTCGGACATGAAGTTGGTCAGGCGAGCAACCAGTGGCGACGAATGTGTTCCAAGCAGTAATTGACGAAAGACATGTGATGGAAATCACTCCCACACGCTCGAGATCTAACACGATGCATTTCAAATAGCAAAGAAAGCAACGAAGAACTCAAGAATGCACTCGAGTTTTCTGCTGTGGTGCCCCTGACCACGCCCATTGGGCACCGCTGTCTGCAGATCTCATTTGAATCATATCAGGCAGGAACTAACAGATGTTGTCAGTTAGCAGGTTCGGTAGTTGATTGCTCTTCAAAAATGTGGCCAATTAAAGTAAGTTGTCAGGCGTAGGCTGACTCTGGAGGTAGTACATGGGCTGCGGTTGCGGCAGCTAGACATGACTGAGTAAACATGTCGCACATCTCCGCGTGCGGTCATAATATGGAATAGGGGAGCTCCAATTATTCAATTTGTCAACATTACCTGAGCTCCCAATTGGATCCTGCTAAAGTATCTCGACCGACGCTGGGGCATGGTCTAGTTTCAGCAGCCAAAAACGGAGTCGAGGTGGACACTGCACAGTCTCCCCTATGGAAAAGCAGCTTTAGAGCTTGCTGCTACGGAACTTTTGTAGGGAGCATTGCACCCTTTTGCAACAATATGTTTGCCAAACGGTACATGATGAATGCTGCTTCTCTAGAAGGTTCCTGGTGCCAGAGTTTCACGGTGGTAGAGCGACAGATATGATCCTCCCATTTTCTATGCAGAAAGGCACAGCACTCCTTACTGTCCGTGGATGGGTGAAGGTAGATGGGCTTCCACCGATTTGATATCAAGCGATGTAAAGACTGGATGAAGACTCTACTGGAGACCTCACAATCTGAGTTGAACCGAAGCGTAGAGCTACTTAACTGACGAGCAGTGTATACACACCTGTTCCAGTTAGCAGAATTTCGAGCCCCACAGCCTCCACAACGCTGGTTACTGGTGTGTTGAGGTCGACTGCCTTTTGCACAATTGGACCCTTCCAGAATGTCATTTTTCCTCCTCGCGTGACCGCTGCCCACTCCGCCTTTCTAGTTGGGGTCGGTGAAATCGCTAAAATGCAGAACGGCGGAGCGTCATGTTGAATCAGCACATGCAAACATTCAGCATTTTCTGGCTGCCATATTCGCAATGTTCTGTCAAGTGAGCCTGAAAGTGAGCGCACGTAAGATGCACTGCTGAGCCATTCGCGGCAACAGGTCAATAAGCAGCCTCACTTAGCTTTTCAGCTGCTAGATAGAAAGGATATCTGCCTACCTGATACAAGCAAGCTGTCAACAAACTTCAGTGCTGTGACGGAGTCCTGCATTTCGTGAGGAACAGCCCTCGTAGCAGCAAGGTTATGCGTGCCGCACTGCAGTGTGCACTCGAGGAGGCTGGACGTGATTCTCCGCTACAAAAGGGCGAAAAAATCGGGTTCGTTAAATATGGGCGTGAAGCTTGCCTTACAGTGTGGCCACGTAGGCGGCTGGTTGCCAATGGGTTCTCCATGGGATACCTATTTATTTCCTTTCCGTTTCCAGCTGAACACGTCACTCCACAGTAAAAATGATGTCAATTTGCGACAAATCGGTTGATAACAACCACTGAGCTACTAGTGACATGGCTAACGAATTGAAACACATTTACCTGAGAAGAAAAGCCTTTTGGAAGAACAGCTGGCAAGATACAATACCTCTCGGTCAACTTCCCCGCTGACCTTGTACAAATCCTGTTAAAATGCAAGTGTAGAAAAACTGAACGAAATTTCGACGCTCTGAGAGGCACTAGACGCAGCGTATGCATTTTGCAAAGCACCGGGGACGCTGAAACCCTCTTCTCTAGCATGCTGTTACGCGCGCCTGTGGTAGGGAAGTCTACTTTGTTCTTTACAGCGTGTCATCAGGAATCGCACAATCTGCCTCGTCACTATTCTCTCTTCCACTTCGTTGACGAGAAGAAGACAAATGTTTCCGTCATAGCCGCCGGTCAAAACGTAGAATGCTTTGCACTTTATTTGTGGTTGGAGCGCTTCACCCGACTGCCTTTCCTCGCCTTCCAATGTTTGCGCAAAATCAGGCCATGAGTCCATGCAGGCAACTGTGTTCTCATGAAGCGTCCTCCCTGAAAAGCCAAGCAGTTGCGTCGACTTTTAATCTCTAAAATTAAAGCTCACCATAGCACAGTTCGTTTCAGAAGTAAGAAGCATGCCAGCGCGCTCTTCCGTTCCTCGGGCAGAAAGGTAAGCACACTACACAGTTGCTGAATTCAATAGGGCTATCATGTGTGTCACATTCCTGCCTTTTGTATCTAGTACGGGAGTTGAGGTATCGCTGGGAAGCTGCCAGCAACGGACGGATCCATCTTCATGGCCGGTTAAGAGAGCATCAACTCCCGGAAGGTAAGTAAAACTGCCCTTGAAGCACCCACACACTGCAAGACAATCAGTAAAGCGGATGCCAGGGCGATTTAGAGAGCTTTTGCAAAGGCTCGGAGAAAGAGGCGTGGCTTGCCTCGTAACTTCGCTGTATTTGCACTGTATTGTGTTGACGGCGACCTGTCGATGAAGATCCCACCTGAGAGCACTGGCAGGAGCACTAATTTCATCCCTCAATCTATGAAGGGACTTACATGAATGGCTCTTCTGCTAATAGTAGAGAGTCTGGATACAATTGGACTGTGCCAACTGGCCTGTTCCGCTCACTGAACACTTACAGCCGAAACGTTTGATCTGTTGCCAGTGAAAGCAAAAAATGCGTCTCTGCGATGGGTACCCAAAGTAAATGAGACACGGAACCTGAAAGTGCATGCAATGCGGCAAAAGTACGGAGTCTGTGGAAGGAAGAGGCCTTTCCACAGTAAACAGCAGCATG